TATATATGTATCTCTCTCTCTTTCACTTCTACATAAGTCTATGGAAACATACAAACGCACCTCGGACTCTTGTACCTATTTAGAATCTGTAAGCTAAAATACAACAAGCAAGTAGTCAGTATACTCTTAAAGGCTCTGACGACACATTTAACTTCTCTCTTTCCCTATCTCTCTCTCTCTCTCTATTTCTCTGTCTCCTCTCTTGCGTTAACTCCCACAAGCGGGGACATGCGCAGAAAGCGGATAGCAAGACAATTTAAGTGCTCTATCAGAGCAACAAAAATTTGTGTAGCGTCGGTATCAGTTCGCTGCGATGTGTCGATGGTAACAGTAAATTCTAGCACGAACGCGAATACGAATACCACGGCGAGTGCGAGTGCCGACCGCTAACGGAGCTCGGATGCTGTGGAGAGGAGAAGGTAACATAGAGAGCATTACAGCAGCAAAAGTTAAGGGCACGACGTAAATTGTTTTGGCTCTGTCTTTGATTTAAGTGTTGGCTTGCGCACGAAAAGTTAGGATTTAAACGGAGGCGCGGCTCGACTCACCGCCGCTCGCGTCGGTATGGATATTTTATTGTGCTGGGAAAGACAAAAGCGTCAGCAACAGGAACTGAACCAACTTCACTGTTTCAACCAATCACGTGAGGAGCTCACGCGAGGTACTCCCCGTCACACGAACGCCAAGTCGGGACACAATTGACGATTACAGTTACTTCCAAGTGCGCAAAAACGCACACACACACGTTCGACATATACATATACGTATACAGATCCGGGTGTAGCTGTTTCTCGGCCGACATAGGACCGGTGGGTCATTATTATGTCGTAATTCCATACGTTCGAACGTAGCTAATGTCGAGTCGTGAGCTGAACTGAAAATAATTGTTTTCCAAGTGACAAGTGCGTTGACAATAAATACGAATTTTATCTGAAGACACTCAATCATGTAAAAAATGCTTTTAAAAGTCCTTCGCTACCGTTAGAGCCTTGAAAAAAAAATCTACTTGAAACTAAAAGTTTTTACATAAATAAATAAAAAATTTATGTATGAATTATATAAATATATTAGCTCCTGGAATATATGTCAAATATATTCCTAAGCGTGTAAGTTCATCTGGGAATACCCGCAGATATATGAACATCCGCAATTCATGCATTCACGTTTAGTCAAAAATAATTAAAACTATTTAAAACATACATATTTTGCTAGTTCACTAAAGTAATAAAAATAATCAAATTTGAATTTGTATTTCTTCCGATTGAATATTGATAATTATTGAATATTAAATATAGAAATTTCCGTATCTAGCGGCATACCAGACCACGCTCCAAAACGACGTGATATTATCGACAAAATTAAATGGGGTGATTTATCGAAAAGTTATCAGACTTTGGCTTACAGGAGTATGTATTAAAACTTGATGGGATCTGCCACGCCCCCTTCTGCCTGATTTCCCATTTTTAATGGCTTCAGGGCTCTTTCTCTCTCTCTTTCTAGACGAGAGTGTTAAATTTTGTGAACGATTTTTATCAATAATCATAAAATGAGATGACTAATAGAACACCAATAATATAGTCATTCACCGTATGGTATTTAGGAATGTTTAATTAGATTACTGATTTTGCGGTTTACAAATAAGGCCAGTCAGTGACTTATCTCGTCTGTCTGATCAAGAATATATATCGTCGCATTCCTGCGAAAAAAAACATATGCTTAAATTTAAATAAATTTTTTTCCAAAACTAGAGCGAATTCACTTGTTATTTTTTGCAAGTATGTGATGCAGACGCTTTCTAACCGTTCTGCATTAAAATCTCAATTTCACAAAAAATTAACATAGGAATGCGACGATATTGTTATAGTATCAATAGTCAATAGTTATTGGGGGATTTTTTTTTTTTTATATGAAATACAATATGGCTACGCAAAATATATTTAGCTTCGGTACCTATTTTTTGTGTAATTATTGTTGCAGGCACAGTTCGAAGACATGACTGACGTTGAAGCGAATATACAAGAACAGCAGCAGCAACAGCAGCTGCAGAACGTGCAACGGATGCAACAGGAGAGCTGCCTGCAGGAGCTACATCAGCAGCTGAGTGCCCAATTCGGCGCAGGAAGATTCGCTGCGCAGCATCAACAGCAGCATCACCAGCATCAGCATCAGACTGTGGCTGCACTGCCCAGCAATTTAGTGCCATTTTTGCCATTCCTACGTCCACCTGTGCCCTTAATGCCTGGTCATGTGGCGTCAGTCCAATCGCATTACAGTCTCAATCCCAGTCACGCCCATTCGCACAGCCACGCCCATGCAAGCGCCCATAAGCTGACAATGCAACCGATGTGGCCAACGGCAGCAGTCGCAGCCGCTCACATTCAAGCGGCATTGGCTGCCGCCGCTGTGGCTGCCACTAACAACAACAACATTAATAATAATAATAATATTTGCAATAATAATAGTAGTAATAATTGTAGTAAATACAATAGCAGCGCAAAATATTCAATTGGGAATACATCTGATCAGAGCACGATGGAAACGTTGGAGCTGGCTAGTGTGGAATGTGGTGTCGACACTAAAGCATCTGTATCTAGGTCGGGATCACCAATGCGGGATCGTAAATCTGCGCACGCATATAGCAATAATACACCGCCGGATTCACCAAGTATCACAACGCACAGCCCGCTGGATAATTCAATTTCAATAAATTATCCGCCATCGCCTATGGAACATCGAAGCAAGGGGTCGGAAACGTTAGGCTCTGAAATCGATGCACCACTTAACCTGTCGAAGCCAAAGGGCTCACCAGACTCGTCCCCGAATAGTGCCAGTCTGAGGGAACGCATTGTGCCCAGTCCACCTTTAAACTGGCAGCAGGTAGGCCAAGCGGTTCCAGTTACTCCTCATCATTCCGCATCTGCTGCCCTATACGCAGATGTCGACGCCAACTACTTACAAAGCCGCGTAAGTAAGACTCTTCCAAATGTTTTCCTATTCTCCTCTTTCAATAATGACACAAACCAACAGAATTGACAAACTAACACTCAAGGCAATGCCCATTCGTCAAAATTCTTTGAAAAATCTAGTTTGATCTGGTTTGAGCAAACATCTATTTATGGATAATGGGGACGGGGTATCCAGAAACTATAGCTCAGGAGAGAGTGCACTTATTTCACGTATTTGTATGTTGTCTGAATTAGATGATTGCTATTAATATGATGTATTTGAAAGGTTTTGGTTTTTATACATATATTAAACATGTACAAATCTCTAGTTCGGCTAGACTAGATATCCATTATTGTTGATCCTCATAAAAAGTATATATACTTTAAAGGGTTGAAGGGTTCTGCCCGCCTCAATTTTCGTATTACGATATTTTCCATTATTTCTTCCGAACTTATGCCGAATTCCCACATTGAGCATATTGAAAATAACACTGCTTCAATTGTCGTACATGTGCTTTCAGGGCCGCATCTGGAGTGGAAATACTGCCAGTGTCCCCGAATCAAATACAAATTTATCGAGCGGCATCGGGACGGGCAGGGTTGGAGGGCCGACTGCTCGAGTCGGACGGACAAGTCGGGATTCCTTAAACAGCTGCGGCACCAGCTCAGAACTATCGGCTGCATTAGACCCGGAATACCAAGCCCAAGCCCATGGCCATGGGCAATTGGGTGGACAGTCGCAGCGACATGGTCATGGACATAGTAAGCCACATATTAAGAGGCCCATGAATGCGTTCATGGTCTGGGCCAAGGATGAGAGGCGCAAAATATTGAAAGCCTGTCCGGACATGCACAATTCAAATATTTCAAAAATCTTGGGCGCTCGCTGGAAAGCGATGTCGAACGCTGACAAGCAGCCCTATTACGAGGAGCAATCGCGTCTATCCAAGCTGCACATGGAACAACATCCCGACTATCGCTATCGTCCACGTCCAAAACGCACTTGCATCGTCGACGGCAAAAAAATGCGCATATCTGAATATAAAGTTCTCATGCGTAATCGACGTGCGGAAATGCGACAGCTTTGGTGTAGAGGTGGCGGACCAAGTGGTCCGACAGGTTCCAGCTCTAATGGACATAGCCACGATGCTGGCTCCGCCGTGCAAGCAGCAGCAGCAGCCGCTGCCGCCTACCACCTGCAGGAGATGAGTCATGCAATTGTCGACGATTCTGAAACGCCACCGCCGCCAGCTCAACTACTAGACTCTGGAGCCATCGCGAGCAGCAGTAACAATTTTTATTATCCACCGGAAAGTTTATCGCCATCGGGTTTTTCCTCCGAGGACATGGAAATTTTATCATTGCGTGATGACGACTAAGAAACAAGATTATGACGTTTATATACGTAAGCATATGTATATAGACATTCGCGGATTCAAATAGATTGTACTTTTAGCTTGTAAATACAAAAAACTAAACTTGAATCATTGTATAGGCCTTTAAGTTTTCGTTCAAGTGCCATTACACACGCAGAGATGTATATGTATATATACATGTATGCAGTAGAATCCCGATAATTCGAAATTGGCAGGGGATCAGTTTGTTTGTTGTTTTTCTTTCGATTTACACAATTTTGAATTATTGAGAATTATTGAGTTTCAAGGGGATAGAATTTTTTTCGAGGTTTTCGATTTATCGGGCTACAAATATACACATGTGTATAGATTGAGTGTTTCGTAGTTGTTCACTCCAAGTTTTGTGCCATTTATGCACCAATGCCATAGCAAAATATTAATATACTTAATTATTAGGTAGAAATTTGGATGACTAGGATGTTCTGTACCTGTCTCCATATTTACATATGTATGTATTTATATTCTTATATATATTTAGTATGTGCACGAATCGAGAAAAAATAAAATACATGTAATTGCAGCCCTAACAGACACTCTTATATACGTATACATATACATATAACGAAGGAGTTTGTATACACAGACACACATAAATAAAAGTTGATGTATGCATGTTAGTTTATAGACATTTCATCGTGTTCTTCTAAACTTTAAATGCGTAACAGCTAAAATAGAATAGAACTCTTCATGGATGCAATGAATCACATTATCGAAAGGCCTCTTTCCATTTATTATTTTTGGTATACTATACATATATAAATTGGATTCTGGGTATAGGCAACTTATGACACTGTATTGCTTTTAATTAAGTCAACACTGAGAAATTACATACATATACATATGTACACTTATACACACAGTCACATATAAATATCTCATATGTCTTATGAATCTCACAAATCATGTAAATAATCTAAGACAAGTGTGTACTTTAAAAGTATTTAAATATCTATCTAATTAAAATGTAAGTACTTTTTAATTACTATTATTATTGCTTCAATGAATCTAATGATAAATACAAAACTATATAAAATACGGTTGTGATTAATTTTTATTCTTTTTCGGCTTGCAGTGCATGGTAAAATATAAATGTATATAGATAGTTCTGAATTCTATATCTCTATCAAAAATAATACAGTGTCATAAGTGCAGCTCATGTTGTATGAATGCTCTAATCCGGTGTGCCTATCGAAAAAATTGCCAGCTCATATTATAAAAGGAACTCTCTAATACGCTTTCCTCCATTTTAAATTTGGCTTAATGTATTACAGATAATTCTGAAGTAGTTAATTGTATATACATATATATACGTTTATCGAGGTCGTCATCTAATGTTTTTTTCTTTTGACTCACTTTTATAGTGCTCGAGTTTTCTTTTTAGCACACGAAAGAAAACAAGTATGAAAACTCTAGTCGAGAGTGCTCGACTAGATACTACCCTGAACCCAACTAATAACAAGTAAGAAAGCTTTAGTCGAGACTGCCCGACTACGAGATCCCCTTAACCCTTCGAGCAATAGCTGTTTCAATCATTTTTCGCGTCTTTCTGCTTACACAAGACACACACACGCACACACACACACACGCGCACGCATAAATACGCATTGGCTGCAGTGGTGGCTTACTAAGGGAACTTAATTGTTCAATTACATTTCTTGTGGATGTAGTTTCTTCATAAAGATTGTGATTATAACATGGATATGTATGTATTTGCCAAAGCACAAGTCTCTGATATTTGAAATACGCCTTTTAGAAATGTGTGGGTGAGGGGGTGAATTAGGGGCGGGGGTAAATTTTGACAAAACCGAAATTGTATAAAATGCATATAAGTATACAAAACAAATTTGGAGACTCTAGCTTTAAAGATGTAGGAAATAAAAATTTATTACTGGTTTTCGATAATGGTTTTAATCGATAACAAAATAACGGAGCAGTTTATCGATATTTAAAGCAAAACTTGATATGCGCGTGCTACACACGGACCTAGGAAAAAAAATGTCAAGTCTCTAGCTCTTATATATTCTGAGATCGACGCATTCAAACATACGGACAGACGGACGGACAGACAGACGGACAGAGCTAAATCGACTCAGCTCGTCACCCTGATCAAGAATATATATACTTTATGGGGTCTGCCACGCCTCCTTCTGCCTGTTACATACATTTCAACAAAACCATTATACCCTGA